GGTGGTGGCCTGTTTTTTTTTTTTTTTTCATATCTGAGAACGCACCCCACCACCCCATGGGCCCTGGCGCGCGCGCAAACGAACCGGGGTCGTGTTCACAAAAAACGCGCCACCTCGCGCGTAGCGCGTTTGAACGCCAATGAACACGGCCCCGGGTCGTTTGAACGCGCACGTTTGGACACGAACGAGCGTTCGGCGCGTTCAAACGGTTGCACATACCAGGTGTGGTGCTCCGCCTGGGATAGAGATGGAGATGGAGGATGAGAGCGGAGCGGGATGGCACAGCGCTGCTCCCACACGAGACTCCAACGCACGTACTCCAAACTGTGCGAATGTAAATGACCCAAAACACAGACTCGCGCTGGGGTATACCCCAATGGACTTACTGGACTGGATTGGATTGGCTGGTACTAATAGAGGTACCGGCCTGGACTGGACTACCCTGAATACAACACAGGCATGTGAGAACAAGCCAAGGGGCTGGTCTCACAGGCCAACCAGAGGTCTGCTACACGATCCTCGACCTATGATGGATTGCCAGATATACACATGCTTCCGCCAAGAAGCGGAACTTTACCAAAGAAAAAGAAAACCCGAGTAGTCTAGGATGTGGAGCAGGCTTCATGTTGAGTCCATGGGATGCAACCTAGGATAGAAAATGTCACAAAAACAGCAATGTCACAGCTAACAGTCTAAGTGAAAGCAGAAGCAACTAACTAGTATACAAGTCCTAGTAAAGCAGAAAGTAATGACAACTCAATCCTAGAATGTTGGAGGCAGTAGCCTCAGTGTTGAAACAACTGACTAGTGTATAAGTCCTAAGAACAACAAAAACATAAACAACTAAATTTTAGAAATGTTAGGGGCAGTAGCCTCAGTCTGAGAGCAACAAAGCAACAACAAGACAACCATACATCACAGGAGGAGTGTGTCACAATCAAAGGGAAGGATGGTCTCTGAGGGTGGCGAATGCAGCCTAGAGGTCGATAAACTCCTAAGGGCATCCACCCATAATGACGGGATATACATGTCATCAGGCTCAATGAGGGTAGGGAATTGGGAGCGAACAGAACAAATGACCCTAACAGATAGACCATGAGGGCATGTAATGCTCGACTCAAGGGGTGACCGCTATGGAGGGTCTACCATGCAAGGGAATAAGGGAGCCTGGTATATTGGCGCACCTAGATGAAGCATGCAAGGCTGCCTAACTCGGGCGGGAGGGCCGGTAGAGGTTAGAAAAAGTGATCGGTAATGATATCATGTAAATGACTCCTAAAGTGAGGGAAGTTAGAGCTAGATCCGCAAGCTCGGAAACCAGGACAACGCTACGGACGGGCACAGGAGGACTAAGCGGGGTGACAACTTCGTGGGTTGGTGCGTGGCGACGGACTGTCCGCATCGGAGAGAGAGAGAGAGAGAGAGAGAGAGAGAGAGAGAGAGAGAGAGAGAGAGAGAGAGAGAGAGAGAGAGAGAGAGAGTTGAGATGGATGGACGTGGGATTGTGTTTTTTCTTTGTCCTCTCCAATCTTGTATATAAGTTTTGATTTCGGCTTCGGGCGATCCGCCCTTACTTCTCGATTTGGCATCTCTCCTTGTTTCTCGTTGTTTTCGCCTTTGATTGGCACTTTTTCTCGACTTCGATCTTCTTCGATCTTCTCTTTTTAAGTATGGGATAGATGGGTTCTGCATAAGGGATGGTTGAATGATTTGCTCGTTGTTTCTCTTTTTGCTCATCCTAGCTCGCAATAAATAGCTAACGACAAGAGTTGATGTTGTTGCGATGTCAAATGTATGATGTGATGTTACTTTGCATAATCGGGAAATATTTGCTAATCATAGGATCACTGAATGATTAGATGATTGGGTGATTTTTTATGCCACGTGGCGATTTTGTATGTAGGACTGAAACCTCACTTCCGCACGAAGAGCAGCCAACAGGCTTGTGTACGATCGAACACCTCGTGTGCGCACATGTAAGCGCGATCTGATCAACGCGGCCTACATGTGTCCACACGCGGGCGATTCGCGATCACTGATGAACTGGCACCTCCAGTATCGGGATAAATGCGAGAATTTGAGCCAATAGGAATTTCCGCCACCATACCGGGAATTCCTTTGTTAACCTAAAACACGATCAGATGCGTCAGGAGGATTCCCACTACGCTGCAGTTAGCGATCCGCCGGAATGACAATATGTTGTACATCTCGGACAGGGAAAGATTAAGGGACCTAGAGCATCGAGAATACTTGGAGGGAGAACAACTTAGGCTGCGAAATCCGGAATTCCCCTGTTTAACCAAGAACGACCGACTCTGTGCCAAGGACTTTCATCACGCTATAATCAGCGACCCGAGGGGCCTAGACTACCTGACTACTTATAACACACAATATTTCATATCCCCGGCTTCGTCGTTATCGCTACCAATTTCCCTCCCTTCCATCCCCTCCTCCCATACCACCAACTCACTGTGGTACCGTGGAATTCCATAGCCCCGTATTGGCCCCACACGTCATGCCGAAACTGCAGACGGCGCGGCAACCGCCAAGCCTCTGGAGTTACGGAGCCTAACCATAACGCGCGACGTCAATAGCCACGTGTACGGCGCGCCGGATTTTCACGCATGCGTACGGCGCGATTTGGCTCTGGGTACCTGCACAGCAAGGCAAGCAATTGCCACGTTCATTTCTCTTTCACGACTCCACGTGCGAAAATCCAGGCCCACCCACCCGTGCCCTCGGTGCATGGGGGAGCTTTGCCCCT